CTATGAACTGGATGATCATCTATTAGCTAGACCATATACTGTATAGCTAAAACTGTTCATACCTAAACATGCATTTCAGCATTTCATAACATGTACCAATCGGGTTCTTATGCAATAAAGATATACAAATCATTTGGCAGCTGTACCACAATACTACACACTCTTTATGCCAACACTCGGGATTCCCTTCAAACTGAATTCTTGCTTAATAATCACAATTAGCCAGCCGTATTTGCCAATATCTTCCTAAGTTTTTTCCCAATTTCTTTTTCGAGAAAAGTCCCTTAAGAAGGTTGGCATTGTGCTAGTTTTTTTCTAATTAGCATGAGGTCACTTCCCTCGTTGTAGCAATGATTAATAGAGATAAGAAACGTTTGTAGATCCTTTTCAAAACAGAGTGTGTATGTGTGTGTGTGTGTGTGTGTGTGTGTGTGGGGGGGGGGGGGGGGGGGTTATTAAAAGGGAAACTTGGTTGGTAAATTGGACCAATTGCTGACTGGTGGGTGTTCTCTTGTAAGATGTATTCATTAGTTCTCACTATTTGCAAGCTCCAACAAACTTGAAATCCTCTGCAAGCACTCTACTGTTGTTGGTATAGCTATTGTTGTGCGGTAATCACCTGAAATCAGTCTCTTGGCATCTTTAAAACAGTACTTGCTCCCGGCAGCCATGATAAATCCATGGTGGTGGTACAGAACAACTTGCCTGGGGAGGCTGAGGTTTTGGAGCAGAAAAATGGAATGGATTTCCTGTAAAATAAGTTAATTTCTTTTCAAGGATAGTAAATGACGGTATTGGATTGGATCAGTGCATGACTGAAAGCACTGATTCCACATTTAAGGTGGTATGTGAGGCAAATCAGATACTGGTATTCGTATTGATAACACTACACAAGGGATTGGCAACTGGTGTCCTGAGGACCACATGTGACCCCCTTCTCACTCAGTGTGGCCCACGAGTCAATTTCAAATATCGTTAATTGTTAACATAAACATGACCAGATCTGCCCTGAAGGATTTCAAATGGAGCTGTAAATAGACAGACAGACAGGGGAGAGACAGAGAGACAGATAGACAGACAGGCGGACAACCAGATGTAAGTAAAAACACTTATAAACTGGTACATTTTCTTTTCACCCCATTACAACAATCTGGCAGTTAGAATAAAATCAATATGACCTGCTTGGTAACCAAAGTTGCCCATCCCCAGCACTAGACTAAAATCCTCAAAATGAGTTTTAAGAGTTGAAGAAAGGCTCTTTTCCTGAGCCAACATGGGGGATCTACCATGTTCAAAGTATGCTCCAGAAAGAAAAGGATTCTTGTGGATGAACTTTGACTGACCGACTTCAACTCCATCTGACTTTAAAACTTATGGCCAATCATCAGTGTCCAACCTCACTCTTGCTTTTGCAACCTTTTGTAGCCTGCATGGTTCCAAGAAGAGTGGAGCCTGTAATCAATGTATATGGTTTTAGAATGACATGTTTAACAATCACATAAGGGTGTAATGTGTGCTTGGCATTTCCCAGAATTCATATTCCAGCCCTCGTGCCGTCTTTCCACCATGTTGAACAATTTCCATGTATTTCTAATCCATAATTCATATTCTAAACACTCATAACACATCCACCCCACTGGCTGAAATGTACCATCATTTGCACATTGACCAGGACTTCTGGAGTGCAAAATATGGAGGAAGTGTGACATACAGATGATATATATAGCGTGTAAATGTGTAAATGTGTAAATGTGTAAATGTGTGTGCAGATGTGTGTGAAGCATGAGCCTGGAGAGAATCCAGGGGGCCAAAACTGTGTGGAAGGCACTTTGCAAATTGCATTGATCTCTCCCTAGACCTTCCTTCCACCTGCCGCCCATCCTAATGACTGTGTTACAGGAGAAGAGAGGGGGCTGTGCAGTCGGAAACGCCTCCTTTTTTTTGCCTTTGTCTGCCATTCCTGTCTTTGCCTTTTCCTTCTGTATCACTTTCATACATTTGTTTCCATAATTTATCTCTTTCACCCCTGCATTCACTCACCATCTATCACACATGCACACACACATATGAATGGACGTCCACCTGCAGCAGAGCATTACGCACTTTCCTGAGCCAATAATTGGTATGACTTACATGTTTTCCCCGGTCCTGTCCCTCTAATTACAACATTATTAGTTGTCACGGTGATGAACAGCAGTGGAGAGGCAGAACATGGCTTAATGAATGAGAAATGATAGTGGAACATGTTAGAGGGTAAATTCTAACTCTGTTTTTCCCCCTGCTCTTTTAAATTAATTCTGAGATGATTAAAACACCTAAAGGGCACTTTGACCAACAAACAGAAGATTAGATTTGGTTTTAAACTTCGATTCTGAGTATCAATTGGTTTGCTAGTAGATTTACAAACATGCATCATGTTTAGTCTGTAGATGTTGGCTCTATTTTGCAGCACTGATATTCCATGATGCAACATATTTTGCTGGACGTTTACTGAGATCATGTGTAAGCGGTTTGGGAAATCAAAGCCTAATTAAGCGTGATGATACTCCTATCACTTGGACTGCAGCCAAGCATACGCACACTGTCATGAAAATTACATGAAAGGGCTTTGTGTAAGCTCTTGGGTTCTCTTTAGTTACAAATGAGGCCCTAGACAGGAAAAGGGCTGCATATCAAAACACTTTGTTCGATTAAATTGTGACTTTAACTGCTTGGATAGATTCTTAGTCAAATGACTACAGAGGATTGAAAAAAACGGTTTTCGAGTATTATACATTGTCTGATGAAGGTCAAGCACCAAAATGTTAAAATATGTTTGACAACGACGCAGCAGCCATATGTCCTCCTTATAAATTTAGATTCTGGTCCTCAGTGGTCTGGATTTGTTTGGACTATAAGGGGAGGCGGTTTTAAAGCACCCCCACACGGCCATTTTGGATGCCCCTCGGCTTACCAGGCAAACCAACAGGTGTTGTAGCGATGGAGGCAGGAAGCTAACTGGTTCAGATATAACTGATTCTACCCGACCTAAAAGGCCTCTGCATGTTTCTAATAAGCTCCATGACAGGTGGTAAAACTAGGATAAATATTGGAGATGCTTTTTAAAAAAGTAGAGAGAGGTTAGAACACAGAAACTAAACTATAGATTTTACATATTGTTGCTTTAACATTTATATATCATAAGGATGCAAGGAAAAGGTCGTGGTCTGTTGTACATGAGGCAGTTCTGACAGGACCTTGATGATAACAAAAGAGGATTGCACCAATTTCCCAATATGGACTTGATCCAGTATGTAACAGAATGTGATAGCACAAGGGATCCATCCATGTTTTCTATTCTGCGCTCCAATTTGTGCCTTGTGTCCCTTGAAAACCAGATGTACTGAGACTTAGACTAAACAAGTCAAAGACAGTGTGTTTACCCTCACTGAATCCTGTGTAAACAGGGCTGTTAACACTCAGGTGCACATGGGAGCTCCCTGGATAATGCTCCTTTTTCTGTGTTTATGATGATGATGGACCCCTTGTGAGGTTTGTTGTACATCTGAGAGCTCAAGCTGTGGCACTCCTCTGGCTTGAAGAAGCTGCCAACTCTCTAACGAGTCTCCTCAGACTTCATAAGAGCCCTATAGACTGCTGGCGACTGTCCTGCTTCATCTGCCCCCAAACCGGCAGAGGCTGTCCCACTGCGGCAGCTCCACTGCAAATATTCAGTCAAATATAGGTCACACTGTACATGGCTGAGAGGACATAGAGTCTCAAACTGATGCTCCTGTAGGTGCATGCATATACACACACTTAAAATGTCAGAGGGCACGTAAACATCCACACAGCACTCTGCAAATACTCACTTCCATTAGGGTCACAGAGCTACAATAAAGAAACAAATGCCACTGCAAGCTCGTCCATTGATTTTCATGGTAATAAAAATAAATATAAAACGCTTCATTTTATTGTTCAGTGCAATAAAGGAGTTGTTAAACACAATGCAGCTTTCCCGGAGTCAGAAATCATTCTGCTGTATAATAAAACAGCAATAAGTCACTCTGGTTGTAAAACTCAAGACCATTGACTGTCGTTATTCAATAACATATCCTCATGGGCTTTATTCAAGATGCGATTTCTGAATTGGCAATCCAGTAAAACGGGCCAGAGCTGGCCAAAAGCCAATATTTACTGGCAAGAAATGTGCATGTATAGTGACAAGAAGCCATTTAATAAGGAAACATATGAATGTTGCATGAGTATACCATGAGGTTCAGGCCTTTTAAAGCCCATTTCTTCATGTAGAATCTGGACATGGGGGTCTTGATTGTCAGCATTGGAAGTGCTCTGGTTTTCTTCAACACTACATCTGCAGTCTGATCTCTATTGGCCATTCACGTATCGGCAGCTTTGGTGTATACAGCCAAAACAGTCCATTTGGAAAGCGGAGAAATGACCTGCCAGCTCCAGTCAGCGGTAATCTAATGATGATTTGTTGACCTCCTTGAACAAATATATGCATCAAAGTGCAGCTGACAATCAGTTATCGATCAAACATTTGAACTTAAGCCACAGATCTGGTCGACGGAGTGTCACTAAAGCCAAACAGTGTTTCAATTTCCCATCTACCTGAATCGCTTCGTATCGTGAGAGTATTGGTGCTCTGTGTAGAAAACACACAAACACACTAACTAACTTTCAATTCCCGCCCTTCTTCTCTTTTTCGCTCCATCTGTGGGGCCAATGTGGGGGAGTCGCCTGAGCAGGGCGACAGGTCAACAGGGAGCAGGGTGAGCAGTGAGGGAGAGGAGGCACACATGTGGAAAAAACAGGCTGAAACGGGTCCAGAATCAATTTTCATCATCTCCGCGGCAGCTGCTGCCTGGTTAGGTGATGTGAAGGAGGAGTGAACCAGACCGGACATGATGTTACGGAGCAGAGGATCAGCCACCATCAAAGGATGTGGAGGACTGTGTTTGTGCGTCTGGAGGGGCTGTTCCAGGGCTTGAACTTACCTCTGCAGATGGTGCCGTTGCCCACGTAGCCCGGCTTGCAGGTACACAGGTGTCCTCTGATGGTGTTGGTGCAGATGGCGTTCTCGTCGCACAAATTTAGCCCGCTGGCGCATTCGTCATGCTCTAAAGGAGAGAAAGATAGGGACACTTCTCAGTCAGAATGGCTGGGTGTATCTGTGTGTTCGCTGTGTGAAAGATCATGAAAATGCTTATTTCTCTCTGAGCGGAGAAATTCAGCTGGTGAGAAGATGGTCAACAAGCTAATTGGCTGAAAATACAACATCCCAGCTGAGCTTTATTCCAACAACAGGCAGCATTATAAACATCAGCGTTCCCAAGCACCAGTTGAAATGGATATGAAGGGATTTATTTCATTAAAAAATATTCCTTCAATAATAACCAGGGCGAGGTTTTTCTTTTTTTTTCTCTAGCAGTGTTATATTCAGATGGTAGGTTTTTGGAGGAACAGCTGACATGCCAGGTGTGCGACTGATTGCTGAGTATCAGCAGCAATTAGCCTAATGATGTTGGCTTGGATATTTGTGACTACTGAGGCCAAACATCAAGAAATATATCAACACTTAACACTCACAAAATCATGTAAACAAGTCCAGCTTCACAGAAGCTTCCAACCAATAAATCCAGACAGATATTTCTGCTTATGAGTGTGTTTACATGCTTGTTATTAACTTGGATGTGAGCCTTATATCCTGGTTTTGAGCTACAATCTTTACTTGGAACATGAAAAACCTGTTACATGATGATAACATAACCAGATTTCTTATCATCAGTGTGTCTTGATTTCGCAACCATCTTAGTCCCTAACGTCTGAAACTTGTAAATGGTGTTTACATGTCTTAATATTCCTGTTTCTACTGGAGCACTCTATGTTGCGTGTTCAGGTTTCTCAAAAGTATGATCTGAATCTTTGAAAACACAGATATGATCGCCACATCCAACATGAAACATGACCAAGATAGCTTATGAACCTGATCAGAGCCAGAATGCTAGTCTGCAGGTAAACAACCTTCAATGTCTCGATATCAACAAATGTAAACTATGGACTCAAAGAAGGTGCAAAAAACCTGTCAGGCAGCTACAGAGATGTCACACTTGTTCTCCTAAAAGCCTTTTTTTGGAAAAGACAATATGAAGCAAGTTGGAAAAAAAGGCTTAAGATATTGTTTCATGCCAGGAACTCGCATGGCAAATACATTTTTATACAAACATACTAACCAAGACCACTGTTCTTCATTACAGAAACGAGAAAAAGCTAATATTTTGTCAGCATTAATTATTTTCTTTCATTTTTTAAAATCCCTTTGTCCCTTTTGGCAAACCGTAGTACAGCCATTGCAGCGTCTGACCGCCTTTGATTGACTCATTTCACTTAAAGAAAAACTTCCAGACAGCTCAGATGACATTCAAAATTAATTTCCATCTGGTGACATCAAACATTTTCACACCTTTTCACCGTTCCCTTCAGCTGTTTTTGTTTAGCTTACAAACTTTAGCTTGGTCAAGTTAATGTTATAACATTCGCTCAATAACATTAGCGGAAGTTCCTAGTTCTATTTAAAAATAAAAGCATGATCGTCTTCAAACATGCTGTAAAGTACCCTTAGCTTAGGCCAGTAAAGTACAAAACTGTTTTGGAATGCACAATAAAGGAATTTAAAACATGCAAGTAAAAATAAGATTGATTGCAATAAACTCTTGAAATTCATTAATTGTATTTAAAAAAAAATGTATCATTTGACACCTCTAATTTCTGCCTTTGCAAATAAATAAAGTGCATAAAATAATGTGAACTCAAATATTCAAAGCATGATGGATCAAAACACCTGATATCAAATCCCTCTTTGTACGATACTGAACTGATTTATCTGTTCTACAGAGTCATTACAATACAAATATGAGTGCAGCTAACAAAGCATGCCTCTTGCTGGCATTGTTAACAGACAATACTTTCCAGTTAAGAAGCTTTGGCTGCAGATGGCTGCAGAGATGCCAAGTGAACCAGTCACACTTTAGAAACAAAGCTTCACACCAGCTGAGTTCTCTACAGCTGACAACCGGGAGTACGACTGCTGTCATGTCAAAAACACATGAGAGCAGGATTTTGACATTGCTCCTCTTATCCTTGAATTGAAAGCCACATTGTGCTTCATGGGCTGGATAAATTGTAATGCCATAAAACGGAGTCTGTTTTATGATAAAAAAAAAACAAAAAAAACAATGCAAGGTCAGCAGAACAGAGATATACTACAAAGAGCTGTGTGTAGGATACACACTCAGGGTCAGTCTTTTATGTCCTGCTGGGGACCATGAACTGCTCTCTTGGTTTTTATATATTTGCTGTTTGCTAGAGGCCAGAGGGAATAAGAGGAGGGTTTAGTGCTGCAGGAGGTGCATGATTAACCAGCAATAAGAGACCATCTACTAAACATTAATTCATCCCACTGCTTTGACAGAGAAAGCCTGCATGGAGCTGCATAGCAAACACAAGATGTCTGGTAAATATTCTCCACTTAACCCAGACTCTGATGCGAGGCTGCATCTGCTGAGGTTTTGGGAAAAAAGTTTAGGGCATACTTTGTTGAAAACTTGAGGTTTTGGACTCAAAAAGTCATTGCCTGAAGCCTGAAAGGTGACTCGGGAAAGAGGGCAGCTTTGATGCTACTGACATGACACACACTTTTAGCTTGATTCAGTTTCTCCCCAAACTTACAGTCAATGGTCCTAACCCTTGGTTTTGGGTTCTGCTACATTGATGGGCTATCCTACGGGTTGATATAATCTAGCCCTGCACATGGCCTCTGAAGTGGGGCGTTGTTGATGGTATATCAAGTGTTGAAGCAATGCTTTGCTAACTGAGACAATGTAACGTGAAACATGGCTACTGTTGCAGCCAAAGAAGGTCAGATCTTCACAAATAAACACAGAAATAAAACTAATGAAATATCTTATTTAATATAAAGGTAAGACACAATTCTGCTGACACATTGACCTATAAGTATCTGCAACAATGACAGGATCCCTTCACTTTTTGTCAACTCCTACATTGCTGTTGGTTTGAACCCTTCAACCATCCAGAAGTACTTTTACAACGTTTGATACGGCAAAGATAGATGGGGATGGGGACTTTTACCCCTGCACAAATTGTCCTCTTTATTGCTTTGCATTATCCACATGGCAATACATACTGTACAGTAGTACACTGTGTTTGGGCATGCAAAATTCATGCACAAAACATCCATGGCATTGACAGTTTGTCTCTCTCTGTTTATTGTTATTCAGAAATGTCTTGCTCATAGTTTTACACACCAACATTATGGGAAAATAATGGCTGATTTCTGACAGCTCTAGATTTGTTAGTTCTATATTCCACTTTGCATTAGACTGCTTCAACATGCTGATTACACCAAAGTCTCATGTGACACATCAAGTACCACATATTCTACTAATTATCCCCGTACTGATAGATCTTAACGAAGCTGCTCTGGACTTGACCTGCGGCGACGACAATCCTGCTTAAACTGCAATGAGCAATTAAAGAAAAAGAAAAAGGGATATCGTATTCATACAGTTTTAAAAAGAAGATAATTATGACAATATGAAATAGTAATTGCTTATGAATATGGGATTTGTTTATTTTCGGCAGCCTGTTTATTGATTTAAGTCTCGCTACTGAGGTTATCAAACTGATTAAGCTGCAGTTAACGCATCTTCAATTAGAATCTAACATGATTTCGGATGATTATAAACAATACATTAAAAGCAAGCCTTGATGGTGCTGCTGCAGTGGGGATTAGCTGCAGTGCCGCACTGCTGGAGCATCTTTTTTTAATATCAAACCGTACGAACCGTCTCTTTAAGTGCCAGTCAGGACCTAACCCTGTGGCTGCCTCCACTTGCAAGACCCACACCAACTAAAACACACTCTTCATTATTATGCAAAAGCCTTGGTGGGAGTCATGACTAATACATTCCCCTTAATTAATGAGTGTTGCTCATAAAGCCCCAGAGCAACTGGGAGAAATTATTTAGCTTCTCTGTTCCCAAGGATTCCCTCCCGCACATTGAACTATAAAGTGGAGGTAGGTATGTCAACAGTGCCACTTTGGTTGTGTGGGAGTTAATGTGATGGGTTATAAAAGGCAGCCTACATTAATGTTGGTGCAATAAAAGGGAGAGTTACAAAAAAATAAATATTCCGTTTGTTAATGGCTGTGAGCTGATGGAAGGGGAATAAGCAAAACACTGGCAGCCATGGATGCTTATTTACTGTTTAATGTCCTCCGGCCAATTTATAATGATCATGTTGGAAGTGTAAACAGACAGATGCTGTGGCTGAATTGATGGATAATGAGTAAGTGGGACACCGCCAAGCTGCATGAGCAATACATCCTCTGGAAAAACATACTTCAGGGGCTCTGCAGATACTGTTGCATTGCAGCACAAGAGGAGCTCCAGCAGGTTCAATTATAACCTACTTTAGCTTTGCACATCTGTGTACTAGTTTACTGACCAGGACAGAGCCAAGAGCAGAGGAAGACCAATGAACAGGTGGGAGGAATATTCAATACCAGCAACCAAAAGTGTGTGTTTTGGGGGGAAGTTTGGGTGAAAAATGAATCTTGATGTTTATGTCATGTCAAGCTTAATGCAGTTTTAAAGAAGCGGTGTCAAACACTGCTGTTTTATCTTCCTGGTGGTTCGTCTGAAATTGCATGTGTGGCTTTGCTTCCAAGTCAAATTGGATCCAAACGATGTTGTCACTGACTTGTTAAGCTGTTTGTTTTCACCTTAAAAGGTGATATGACTAGCTCAAAGCTATCTCTTGTACGATGCATCAAGTGGCAACATTTATTTTAATATTATAAAAGGTCCCTTTACAAATATGCAAACTTGAGGCTTCAAATAGGATGTGCGAAAAAACAAATGGTTTACATCAGGATCACTACATCCTGTTCATTTACACAGTCTCAAGCACAGACAAAGAAAACTGTACACCACTTCTGCCTATAGCATCTCTGGTGAGCTGCTGCAGGGTGATGGACGTTAGCTGTGATTTTTCTCCTTTATATATTGACTCCCAGTTCATATTACCAAAGAAAAGT